TACAATACATTTATAGCGAATGGGTAGATAGATCGCTCGTCTCCTGTTCTTGAGATCGTTGGTTCGAGCCCAGGGTAATCTGATTCACCCACCTGTGAATAGATACCTAACTTTACATTTATGGAAGTTAATGGTGTCAAGTGCAGTACCGACTACAGTGTACACGCCCAGCCAGCCAGCCAAGGTATCGTGTAACGGGGGACGGACAATCTACTGAAGAAAACACAATATGATGTTAACTACTTCCCGTTTTCTCTTCGTTATCATCTATGTTTCCTTCCTCCGTTACTTCCCTATACGCCTCCCCCTCACCACACGACACTCCTCCCGTCGCCTGCCCGCACCACCGTCAACACCAACACAAAGTTTAGTCAGAATTAATAAAAAAAAAAAAAATCAGAGCTTCAATTTACAGGTAAACGATGCATATAACATATAACAACTGTATATGGTGGATTGTGTCGAGTGATCACCATCCGTACAGTGTGTCACCATCAGCACTGTGTCACCATCACCACAGTATGTAGGTAGAGGAACATGATTCACAACACTTAAATATAAAATATCACCGAGATCTCCCCACCCCCTATCGCCATACGCCCTTCTTGCCCCCAACACGGTACCTCCCTACCCGTACGGATTGAAGGCATGATGAACAGATAACAGGAGAAGGAAGAAGAGGAGGGGGAAGAAGCAGAGAAGACGAGCCAAGCCAATTCCACCCTTAAAAGATCCCTATCACAGAGGTCATTATCCCCTACTTCACCATCGCCAAGACGTACAAGGTATTCCAGCCTTATGACCCCCTATCATAGAGGCCAAGTTTGTCCTGTGAGCCACCCTCAGTGTTATATCCGCCTGGGATTATTAGAGGGTAAAAGTAGTCTGGCAGGAGGTAAATATCGGGACATAGGAGGGGGGATGGAGGGGGCAGAGGGGAGGGGGTAGAGGGGAGGGGTAGAGGGGAGGGGGGGCAGAGGAGGGGGTAGAGGGGAGGGGGTAGAGGAGGGGATAGGGGGAGGGGACAGGGGAATGGAAAGGGATATAGGAGGAGGAGGGGGATAGAGGGGGAGGGGGGGTTTTCCATCTCCCTCGATCTTAATGTTTCCCACACCAGGACTAGGGATGGAGAGAGAGTCAGGTGATAATTTGGGCTGGAAGAAGAAGAAGAACAAGAAGAAGAACAAGACAAGGAGGAGGAGGAGGAGGTGGAGGAGCCTCGCTAAAGTTATAACGTGGGAGATTAAACTATCATACCAAGAAAGAAAATCGAAGACAGGCATTAGTTTTAACAGAAGGAAAATGGAAATCTCCACCATTGCATCTACGAAGAAAATTGGAATCTTAAGCAGTGCATCAATGAAGCAAATGGGAATCTCAAACATCGAGTCAATGAAGAAAATTGGAATGTCAACTGTCGCGCTAACTAAAGTAAACAAATAAAAAAAGTCCCTTGGAAATGGCGTATTATCCGACCAATAAAATGGCTGTAACTCCTACATCATTTGACCCAGCAGGAACCTATCATAATACACTCATACTAATATGCAAATGTGTCCACCGAATCCTTGGAACGAACGGACGGACGGACGGACGGACGGATGGGCGGACGGACGGACGGACGGATAGACACTGGAACTTTACGGCACACTCACCAAATCCCTCGAGACCCACTCTAACCTGCACTCTGGGCCACATTAACCCCCGAGACCCACTCTAACCTGCACTCTGGGCCACATTAACCCCCGAGACCCACTCTAACCTGAACTCTGGGCCACATTAACCCCCCGAGACCCACTCTAACCTGAACTCTGGGCCACATTAACCCCCCGAGACCCACCTTAACCTGCACCTCTAGCCAGATTAACCCCGAGACCCACTCTAACCTGCACTCTGGGCCAGATTAACCTCGAGACCCACTCTAACTCTGAACTCTGGGCCACACAACCCCCGAGACCCACCTTAACCTACACTCTAGACCAGATTAAACCCCTGAGACCCACCTAACCTGCACTCTAGGGCCAGATTAACCTCGAGACCCACTCTCTAACCTGCACTCTGGGGCCAGTTCAACCCCGAGACCCACTATAACCTGAACTCTAGGCCAGATTAGCCCCCTGAGACCCACTTCCTTAACCTGCACTCTAGGCCACATTAACCCCTCGAGACCCCCACACTCTAGGCCAGATTAACCCTTCGAGACCCACTCTAACTTGCACTCTAGGCCACATTAACCCCCCGAGACCCACCTTAACCTACACTCTAGACCAGATTAAACCCCCGAGACCCACCTTAACCTGCACTCTAGGCCAGATTAACCCTTCGAAACCCACTTTAACCTGAACTCTGAGCCAGATTAACCCCTCGAGACCGGCTCTAATCTGATCACTAAATATGAGAGATATATTACGGCGGGAGAGCGTGATAGAGGAGGCAGGTAGGTTAGTGATAGTATGCTACACCGACACGCACCTCTCTCTCTCTCTCTCTCTCTCTCTCTCTCTCTCTCTCTCTCTTCAATTTTCCCTTTCATCTTCTTCCTTTATCCTTCCTCCCTCCATCCCCTTCATCCTACCCTCTCCCTCCTTCCATCCTTCCCTCCCCCTCTCTCACCTTCCCATCCCTTCCCCACTCTTCATCCTTCCCTCCCTTCTCTCTCTCTCCCTTTCCCTCCTTCTCCCTCACAAACACCTCTAGAAGGCAAGATTCTCAACGCAACTTAAGGTATTTTTTTCCCTCATCTGGGGAATAATTATCAGGGAACTAAAATAGTGTCTGGGGAAAATTTCGACGCCAGTGAGGATACGATCTTGTGTCGTGTGGTTGCTAGTTAGTTAGGTTAGGTTAAGTTGCTAGGTAAGGTTAGGCTAGGTTAGCCTCACGTGTCCAAACTGGTGGCGGGGGGTGTGAAATCTATGGTTAGGTTAGGTTCTCACGTGTCCAAACTGGGTGGTGGGGGTGGGGGAGAGGGCAGAACACACAAAGGTCCTGTAAATTCTGTAATAAGATGATGTAAACAAAAGTAATCTAGTGAACATGAAGAGAATCCCATTATAATTATTTTGACGCCATATTGGGACGGTTTTGGTTTTATTGCTGAATGGATTTCTGTCTGGAAAATGGAACGGGTCACCTGAATATTAGACACCCCAGCTTATTTCACCTGAGTATTAATCACCCTAACACTACTTGGGGTGTTAGGTTGGTGTTAGGGTGTTTACTCAAGTTAAATAAACCTTGGATGTCTAATCTTCAGGTGATCCAATTGAATTCTTATATCCTCAGTTACGAGAGAAAATCCTAACCCAACCCAACCCAACCCACCCCCACCCACCCTAACCTTACTTTCAAAGCTTTAAGAATACGAGGATCAGTAAGGGCTATTACGGTAACAGTCAATACTAATTACCCCCAAGGACTCTCTACTCCATTACGACTCCTTATATGAGGGGCGGGAGAGACGCGGGGTAAGACAAGCCACGCGTAGAGACAAACAGACGCGATTACTCCTCCTCCTCACAGGGACCGAGGAATTATCATCTCGCATCGCCACAGACATTAAGACATTGGGCTGGTGAGGCGAGGTGAGGCGAGGTGGGGCGAGGTGAGGTGGGGCAAGGCGAGGTGGGGCGAGTAGTGAGGGGGCGAGGCGAGTGGGGCGAGGCGAGGTGGGGGCCAGGTGAGATGAAAGAGGGATGGTGAGGTGCAGAAGACGGACCAGTACCACCCCCCACTACAAGTATATCTTCCTCTCCCTCCACCGCCTCCCTTCTCTCCTTCCCTATCTCTTCACCTATTTCCTTTCCCCTTCCTCACCCCCTCTTACCCCTCAATCCTCTCACTCGGCCCCTCCTACCCTAACCCCTCCCTTCCCTCCTACCCTCACCCCATCCTTCCCTCACCCCCTCCCCTTCCCTCACCCCTCCTACCCTCACCCCCTCCTTCCCCACACCCTCCTACCCTACCCCTCCTTCCCTCACTCCCTCCTTCCCTCATCCCTCCTACCCTCACCCCCTCCTTCCCTCACTCCCTCCTACCCTCACCCCTCCCTTCCCCACCTCCCTCCCTCACCCCTCCTTCCCTCACTCCCTCCTACCTCCCTCACCCCCTCCCTCACCCTCCTACTCACCCTCCTTCCCCACTCCTCTCATTCATCACACATTCCTACAGCAACACCCACAGTTAATTATCAAAAAAGGACGAAAAAAAAAGAATCCCGGGTAATTAATTTTCCGAATATGCAAAGACCGCGTACACGGTTAATTGTTGCGAGAAACGGGAGACAATGATGGAGAGAGGAACGATACGGCTAGATAATGGTGGTGGTGGTGGTGGTGAGTGTTGGTGGTGAGTGGTGAGTAGTGTTGGTGGAAGTAAGCTGGAGAGAGCAGTCCCATACTACTATTCCGGCCTCCTATCACCACCACGACCATCACCACAACAACCATCACGTTACTGGGAACAAACATTATCTCACCACAACCAACAAAAGTCATCACAATTCATAACCTTTCGCACGGTGGCAAGGGGGAGTGGAGGAGGGGGGGGTGAGCAGGGTGGAGGAGCCGAGCGCTTGCTTCCCGATGCATGATAAACTTGCCGTCATCAATCAAGAATTTGACAATGTAATTCTTAGTTCATGACTGGAAACGGCCCATCGCAGATCAATTCATTCAACCCAGCGAATAAGGCGAACTTAAAATATGGACTGGAGAGCCAGACGGCTGCTGAGAGAGAGTGAGTATGAGTGTGTGAGTGTAAGTGTGAGTGTAATGCAGGATGCCGTCTATAACTGAAGGATTTATAAGCTCGAAAAAGGGTGAGTCGTCCAGTACACGAGAGGGAGGGACACGGTGGTATAGAGGGGAGGAGGGAAGGAGCAAGATGTTGCAGTAGGTAGTGGACAGAGGTGGGTTCACGCAGCAAGGTTCGTGAGATAGGGTTCACGAGACAGGGTTCACGAGGCTGGGTTCAAGAGCCAGGGTTCACGGGACAGCATCATGACGGCGGTGGTGGTGACGGTACCTGTGCCGCCCGGCCCACGACAGGTAGGTCCAGGTCACAGGTAAGAGCTGCAGCCAGGGGCATTTCAGGCAGGTGCTCACCACTCTGACCGCCTGCAGCAACGAGCTGGCAGGTGCGGTGCGTGTGTCTATACCCAGAATGCCTGAGGGCGTGGCGATGGTAGCTGATGTAACTCCATGGCGTTTCCAGCCCTGTGTACAGTGAGATTCGAACCCAGGTCCCAGTAGGACACCCTCGTAAACACAGTCACTTAGCCACCGCTCCACGGCATCTTCTACCCAGCGTGTGAGCCAAGACTGTGGAGGGGCTGGCGAAGATTAATGGTGGTGTTGTGTTAGAACGTATTCACGGCAGTCCAACACGGGGTTAACAGTCCACGCTGGCACCCTCCACGGCACTCACTGGCACCCTCGTAACGCACGCAACTCTCACGCGGCATCACCAACTTATCGCTAACTTAGAACCACCTATTTGTTGCCAACTTCTTGCTTATTTGAACTTCTTGCTTATTTGACCCCCCCTCCCCACAAGTCCCATGAACAGGTGAGAGGCCAATCAGCTGATCATCCTCCCATCCCAAGAACTTAATTGGCCATCACTAACTACTACCACCAGCTGTAAAATTAAGTACTCATTACCAGCTGGGTGAACTATAGGAGTGTCCTGGAATCAAACCAACATCTGTAAGAACAGGAGGCGAGCTCTGTATCCACTCGGCCGCCGCAATTTAACCTCCCAAGTTACGAAGACAAAATATATTAATTAAATTCTTAAATTCTCAGGTAATTGAGACATTATATCAATTAAAGGTGAGGCGACACTACAGGTAAAAGAGGGGGTGACGACAGCCGGTGGTAATGGTGGCAGGTGGCAGGTCATGGTGGCACAGACTATAGGCACCAGAGGCAGAAATGGCAACGGCAGTGACGGAGATGTATGGCGGCGGCACAAAAAAGGAAATGTCTTGACCGTGTAATAATTAATTGTGGAGCGGAGCATCACACGTGCCTTGATGAATGATCCCTCCCTCCACCACTACCCCGCCCCGCCCCGCACCCCCCAGACCCGCACCACTGCCCAAGTCATAACCCCACACGTCTGTTGCCCTGCCCTGCCCTGCCCTGTCCTGCCCAACCCCACCCCGCCCCGCATAACTCCAATATCAATATCACACGCCTGCTATAAACCCCACCCCACCCCCTGCCCAAGCCACAGCCCCACACTCCTGCTGTCCTGTCCTGTCCTGCCCCACCCTACCCTACCCTGCCCGCCCCGCACCCCTACTCAAGCATAACCCCACACGCCTGTCCCATCTCATACGCCTGCCTCGCCACCAGGGACAGGAGGACGAGGACCACGGCCCCGGTCCCAGCAGAGCCACGAGTCACTTGAGTGCCAGCTGAGGCCATCTGCCCTGAGGGGGAACCTGAGGAGGGGGAAGGAAGACTGACTGGCTGGCGAGGAGGGGAGGAAAGGAGATGAGGGAGAGAGGGATGGAGGAGGAGGGAACCACAGGTAACATGCAGGTGCGCGCCTTACCTCCACCACCTAAAACCCCTTACACTATTCTCCTCCTCCCCATACCCCCATCGTCTCTCCCGCCCTCACCACGCGCCACCCAGTACACAATTACACGCCCATGTTCACCTCCTCCCACCACCATCCACCACCGTCCTACCACCACCATCCACCACCACCACCATCCCCACCCCCCACCACCACCACCACCATCCCCACCACCCTCCACCACCCCCACCACCATCCCCCACCACCACCCCTTCCCCACCCCACCATCCCAACCACCCATCCCCCCACCACCATCCCCCACCACCACCATCCCCCACCACCCTACATCCCCATCCACCACCCCCCACCATCATCCCCCACCACCACCACCATCCCCACCACCACCACCATCCCCCACCACCACACATCCCCCCACCCCCCCCCACCATCACTACAAACCCTTTATCCTCACCCTTTAACCTTTATGACGATCAATATTATTATTATTATTATTATTATTATTATTATTATTATTATTATTATTATTAATGTTATTGCTGTTGCTGTTGTTTTTGTTGTTGTTGTTGTGTCATCCAGGAAACATAAATTGGAGGATAGTTATGTTTAAGTCGCTTTGACGTGACAGAAGACTCATCTCTACTCCATGACATGACATGACAGGAAGTTCAGTGTTGATGACAAGAGTGTTTCGTTATCACAGGAACATGAACCTGGCCACGTGTCTGCGGCAGGGCCAGGAGGCGGCCACACGCGGAACATTCTTGTGGCCACACAGGCTTTTCCGCGTGAGTGCCACAACTCTCCCCTCATCACCAGCTGTCATCAAGACCACCATACCCCATGTTACCAGCTGTTACCAGGAGTTAACACCCAACCACGGTAACAACTACAACAACCACAACCACCACCAATATCCTCAACCACCAACAACAAACAAAGCAACCACAATCACCATCATAACCACCACCAAGCTACAACAAACAAAACAACCACAACACCCTGGAAGGTAATTAATGTACCGTCACACAACAATTAATTTGGTGGAGTCTAAATGAGGCGACTCATCACCTCGCCAAAATACTTCCCACTAATTTTTCTGCCCAAGAGCCAAAAATACGGCAGTGGGGATACCCCTTATTGTGGCGCCCGTGACGTCACCACAAAAACACGGCGGTGACGAAGATAATGAAAATACGGCTGTAATAATTACCAAAAAATACGAGGAGAGGGTTATAAAAATATGGCAGTAACAGTAGCTAAAAATACGACGACAAATTACGCCAAAAAATACGGCATTGACACAGAAAAAAATACGGGAACAAAAAAAATGACAAGTGTTATAAAAGAAAATTACAGCAATGAGAGTGACGTGAAATATTGGGTGAGGTGACAGTGACAACTACTTTACGGTGATGGCACTTCTGGCATCGACAAACGTGGCACTCTTACTGTGTATACGGACACCACCTGTCCTCCACCTGGCTCACTGGTGCCAAGTAATGTCTGCACCACCTGTCGGATTATGGCACCTGTATAGCGCCATAATAAGTGAAGTAATAGTAACGCCAATAGAGTTTCACATGCTTCAACTGCTAGGGTTATGAAGCACCATTCACTAAGTCTTTGTTTTAGGTGCTTCATCTCCCACCAGGGTTAAAACACCGTTGACTAGATCTTTGCTTCTTACCAGAGATAATATTAGTAATTCAGTATAAGCTCATGACTTATAACCATCTATGCCTCTATGATTATAACCAGTAACAGAGGAGGAGCCAGGAAATGCCTTGAGGGACGCCATGTGACTTCTTTGTTAAGTGACGCGGTGCCATTTTAGGTGACTCTAGTTGTGTTTACATTAAGTATGCCACGTGACACCCTTTTATGCCATGTATGCCACGTGAGCCTCATGTATGCCACGCGAGGATCGTGTATGACACCCAGCACCGCTAGTGCCTAGGCCCCATGACACATGACACCTCCGAGGTAAACACGAGAGAGAGAGGTGGGTGTCGGCCCGAGCTCACCCCTACCCCACCCCCCCGTCCGCCCTCAACAGCCTGCTACCACGCGCCTCCACGCCCACACTTGTAGCCTCACGCCTACAACCTTCACGCCCACTCAACCTCCACACCTATACAACCTCACGCCTATACAACCTCCACGCCTATACAACCTCCACGCCCATAGCCTCCACGCCCATCAGCCTCACGCCCATACAACCTCCACGCCCATACAACCTCCACGCCTATACAACCTCACGCCTATACAACTTCCACGCCTCAACCTCCACGCCCATACAACCTCACGCCCATACAACCTCCCCCACGCCCATACAACCTCCACGCCTTCACGCCACAACCTCCACGCCTATACAACCTCCACGCCCATACAACCTCCACGCCCTATAACCCCTCCACGCCAATACAACCTCCACGCCTATACAACCTCCACGCCTTACAACCTCCACGCCCATACAACCTCCACGCCTATACAACCTCCACGCCCATACAACCTCCACGCCCATACAACCTCCACGCCTATACAACCTCCACGCCTATCACCCTACCTCCAGCCTACCCTCACGCCCATAAACCTCCACGCCCATACAACCTCCACTATACAACCTCCACGCCTATACAACCTCCACGCCCTACAACCTCCACGCCCACCACAACCTCCACGCCATACAACCTCCACGCCCATACAACCTCCACGCCCATACAACCTCCACGCCCATACAACCTCCACGCCACCCCATACAACCTCCACGCCTATACAACCTCACGCCATACAACCTCCACGCCCATACAACCTCCGCCTATACAACCTCCACGCCCTCCAACCTCACGCCTATACAACCTCCACATACAGCCTCCACGCCTATACAACCTCCACGCCTATACGCCTCACGCTATACAACCTCCACGCCCGCACAACCTCCACGCCATACAACCTCACGCCCGCCACAACCTCACGCCCATACAACCTCCACGCCTATACAACCTCCACGCCTATACAACCTCCACGCCCATACAACCTCACGCCTATCGCCTCCACGCCTACAACCTCACGCTCCCACGCCTATACAACCTCCACGCCCATACAACCTCCACGCCTATACAACCTCCACGCCCATACAACCTCCACGCATACAACCTCCACGCCTATACAACCTCCACGCCCGCCACCTCCACGCCTATACAACCTCCGCCTGCCACAACCTCCACGCCCATACAACCTCCACGCCCAACAACCTCCACGCCCATACAACCTCCACGCCATACAACCTCCACGCCTATACAACCTCACGCCTATACAGCCTCCACGCCTACCAACCTCCACGCCTGCACAGCCTCCACGCCCATACAACCTCCACGCCTATACAGCCTCACGCCCATACAACCTCCACGCCTCCATACAACCTCCACGCCCGCCTCCACGCCTATATACAACCTCCACGCCTATACAGCCTCCACGCCCACCTCACACGCCTAACCTCACGCCTATACAACCTCCACGCCTATACAGCCTCCGATACAACCTCCACGCCCGCCACAACCTCCACGCCCGTACAACCTCCACGCCCATACAACCTCCACGCCTACCCACAACCTCCACGCCTATACAACTCCGCCCATACAACCTCCGCCTATACAACCTCCACGCCCGCAACAACCTCCACGCCCGTACAACCTCCACGCCCATACAACCTCCACGCCTATACAACCTCCGCTCACAACCCACGCCTATACAACCTCCACCTATACAACCCCACAACCTCCACGCCCATACAACCTCCACGCCTGCCAACCTCCACGCCTATACAACCTCCACGCCCATACAACCTCCACGCCCATACAACCTCCACGCCCATACAACCTCCACGCCCATACAACCTCCACGCCCATACAACCTCCACGCCTATACAACCTCCACGCCTATACAACCTCCACGGCCATACAACCTCCACCCGCCTCCATACAACCTCCGCCTGTGCCTCATTTAAAGCAGTTGTGTATTTAGACCTGACGAAGTAGCAAGTGAGGAGTGAGGTGGTTAGGGAAGTGAGGAGTGAGAAGGTAGTGAGGTGGAGTAGGTGAAGTGAGGAGTGTAGTAATGATGAGTGAAGAATGGTGAGGTGGATGAGGAAATGTGAGGAGGTAGTGAAGAGATGAAAGGGGAGTTAGTGAGTACATGAGGATAGCTGGGTAGCCCTCACTCACACTATCCATCACACAAGGCACACCCACGTCACCCCCCGCCCTCACCCCACCTCACACCCCCTACTCAGCCTCAGGTCTAACCCAATAGAACCTCACACCTCTATATGTAAACAAACTCATCGTAGAAAGTTCTGAGCCATGACTGGGGTTCTTATGATTGAACCCCCACCATGGCAACCCCAAAACATCTAGGGTTCTGATCTTCCCTACAGACCCCACCTCCCCACACACGTACGTTTTCCCGTATCAACCATCAGAATGAGTCCTTTTACCCCTCATAAGGAGATAGAAAGTGGACCTCAACATCATAGACGTGAGTGGTGTATGAGAGTTCGTGACTTATCCCTCCCTCACCCTCACGACTCCTCTCTAACCCCCCCTTCAACTCCCATTTACCTTTCACACCCTTCCTACCTCTCCTCCACCCACCCCTTCCACCTCTTACTCACTACTCAACAGCCAGTACACCTCCTCCAATCCTCTCCAACTCCCCTATCACGCTCTCCAAACCCCTCTCCAACCCCTTCAACCTGATTTTCCCTCCCATCCTCTTCCTTTCCCTTTTCAACACCCTCCCCTTGTCCCTAAAACCACCTGGCTTGTCAAGGAGAGAAAGAGGGAGGGGAGGGATGGGGGAGGAGGGAGGATGGGGGAGATGGGGAGGATGGGGGAGGATGGGGGAGGATGGGGATGGGGAGGATGGGGAGGTGGGGGAGGATGGGGGTATGAAAGGGAGGTTATGACACTGATTGGGGAGATAAACCTAGCGATGGGGGAGAGGGGGTGATCAAAGTGTGATTAGAATCGAGTTATCAGACTGGGGAGGGGTGATGAACGAGAGGAGGGGAGGGGCGTTGGTGATCAATCTAGGGAGAGGGGGTGATCCAATTATGGGGAGGGGGAGGAGGGTTGCGATCACGGTGTAGAGGCGGTGAAGGGATTTGGGGAGGGGGAGGGGGGTGGGGGGTGTGGAGTTGAGGGGAGGCAACAAGCAGCAACATTATCACTGCCATCTAAGACACGTACTAACACTTCCACACACGCGACGCTTGAGGGGGAGGGGAGGCTGGAGGAGGAGGGAGGCTGGAGGGAGGAGGAGGGAGAACACGCCGCTGGCATTTAATCTCTCTCAGCGGTCAGTCACACATTCACACACCCGAATTTTGACCTAATCTTCCTCCTTCTCCTTCCTTTCCATCCTCCCTCCTCCCCTCACTTCCTCTTATGATAACTAATGAGGAGGAACAATCACTGATGTTCTCTCGTTATCTGTCCGGTATATCCTCTTCTTCTTTCTTTCTTCTTCTTCTTCTTCCTCCTCCTTCCTCCCTCTCTTCCCTCCAATCTCTTTTTTTCTTCTGCCTTTCCTCCTTCCTCCACTCCTCCCTCAACACGTATAGGCTATCCAACCAGTCCCCGTCGATAGATAAATAGATATATAGATAGATAGATAACTTTCACAATCAGCGTTTAGAAATAGACATAAGAAACAGCTGAAACACACACACACACACACACACACACACACACACACACACACACACACACGTACATAATGTGTGTGTGTCAGTGTAGGGGGGTCAAGCAGTGGTAATGTGAGAACTACGACATCTCTTGGTCATTAATGGACGCGTTAGACACACCCCATTGGTTCCTGCCTGACCCTTGTCCACCCACACTTCTTCTTCTTCTTCTTCTTCTTCTTCTTCTCCTTCTCCTCCTCCTCCTCCTCCTCCTCCTCCTCACCTTTTTATTAACGTTATCAAACCATTAAACATCTCAAGTCATGTCACACCAGCACAGGTCACCTACTAGATGAAGTGTTTTACAGGTGACGGGTGTCCACAGGTAGGGATGACCTACCTGTTAGACGGCACACACTCACCTGTCTCAACACCTGGGTACTCTCATTAATTCATTCATTCACTCATTCATTCGCTCACTCACTCACTCACCAACACTTTTACCTCTTACTCATTACTCACCAATTCACTCACTCACTCACTCACCCAATTACTCACTCACTCACCCCTCCCACCCAATTACTCACTCACTCACTCAGTCACAGGTGCTGTTCCCAGGTCTCGTCGCCCCCAACACACCTGTAATTATTACGAGGCAAAACTACAAGTATAAACAAAACAGCTACTACTATATCAACAACAACAACAACAGCTACGAGTAAACAATAACAACAACAACTACGAACAAACAACAACAGCTACTCACAAACAACAACAACAATAACTACTAACAAATAACAACAACTACTAACAAACAACAACTACTAACAAATAACAACACCAACTACTAACAAATAACAACAACTACTAACAAACAACAACTACTAACAAACAACATCTACTAACAATCAAATAAACAACAACTACTACTAGCAACAAGCAACTAACAATCAACAACAACTACACACACGCCCAATTAAATCAGCAAGGAGCCCCTAATCAACACCTACAAGGAAACGATAATTACCCAATTTGCATAAACAAGCACACACAAACAAGGAACAAACACAACAGGTACTGCCTTAGGGAACTACAAGACGGTTAACAAATAAATTCATCCTGTTAAGATATCAATAAGAACTGTCTACTACTTTTAAGGTGATGTCTTAATTACCTTTCAGGCGGTATAATGATCACGGTTTGCTTAGACAGGTATAATGACCATGATTACCTTTAAAGTGACAGGACTCGGGACAAAGAGACCACACTGAGGGACGGCAAGACAGGTCAGATATTGATACTAAACAGACGAACGGACAGTAGTAGACAGGTAAACAACGGAGGCGATAAGACAGGCAGACAGCCATGGTCGTCCATACTACCAGAACTACAGATAGACAGACTGGCACACCAAAAATACACAAAACAGACAGATTGAACAGTCACAATACGGCAGGCAAGACAGGAAGATGGCCATGAAGGTAAGACAAACGGGACTAATGAGATCCTACCAGACAGACAGACAGACAGGCCCAGACAGCCAAAGGTCTTCGTCATAACCTTTCATTGATTTCCAGTATCTGCCGACCACTGCCAATGGTTCCTCCTCTTGGTCCTATTTAAGTGTATTTGGCTGTGGTAAAATGACCCGATAATCACTCGGCTCTAGAGACTGTGGGCTGTAACACTTGTCTGTGGGTTGTAACACTAGTCTGTGGCTGTAACACTTCTCTGTGGGCTGTAACACTTCTCTGTGGGCTGTAACACTAGTCTGTGGGCTGTAACACTAGTCTGTGGGTTGTAACACTTGTCTGTGGGCTGTAACACTAGTCTGTGGGCTGTAACACTGTCTGTGGGTTGTAACACTTGTCTGTGGGCTGTAACACTTGTCTGTGGGCTGTAACACTTGTCTGTGGGCTGAACACTTGTCTGTGGGCTGTAACACTAGTTCTGGCTGTAACACTTGTCTGTGGGCTGTAACACTAGTCTGTGGCTGTAACATTATCTGTGGGTTGTAACACTTGTCTGTGGGCTGTAACACTAGTCTGTGGGCTGTAACACTTGTCTGTGGGCTGTACACTCTCTGTGGGCTGTAACACTAGTCTGTGGGTTGTACACTAGTCTGTGGGCTGTAACACTAGTCTGTGGGTTGTAATACTAGTCTGTGGGCAACACTAGTCTGTGGGTTGTAACACTTATGTGTGTTGTAACACTTGTCTGTGTGGGTTGTAACACTAGTCTGTGGGCTGTAACACTAGTCTGTGGGTTGAACACTTATCTGTGGGTTGCACACTGTCTGTGGGCTGTAACTCTAGTCTGTGGGTTGTAACACTTGTCTGTGGGCTGTAACACTTATCTGTGGGTTGTAACACTTGTCTGTGGGCTGTAACACTAGTCTGTGGGTTGTAACACTTGTCTGTGGCTGTAACACTTCTCTGTGGGCTGTAACAGTCTGTGGGTTGTAACACTAGTCTGTGGGCAGTAACACTAGTCTGTGGGTTGTAATACTAGTCTGTGGGCTGTAACACTAGTCTGTGGGTTGTAACACTTGTGTGGGTTGTAACACTGTCTGTGGGTTGTAACACTAGTCTGGCTGTAACACTAGTCTGTGGGCTGTAACACTTATCTGTGGTTGTAACACTTGTCTGTGGGCTGTAACATCAGTCTGGTTGTAACACTTGTCTGTGGGCTGTAACACTTCTCTGTGGGCTGTAACACTAGTCTGTGGGTTGTAACACTTGTCTGTGGGTTGTAACACTGTCTGTGTGGGGCTGCACTAGTCTGTGGGTTGTAACACTTGTCTGTGGGCTGTAACACTCTCTGTGGGCTGTAACACTAGTCTGTGGGTTGTAACACTAGTTCGTGGGCTGTAACACTAGTCTGTGGGTTGTAACACTAGTCTGTGGCTGTAACACTAGTCTGTGGGTTGTAACTCTAGTCTGTGGCTGTAACACTAGTCTGTGGGTTGTAACACTAGTCTGTGGGCTGTAACACTAGTCTGTGGCTGTAACACTTTGTCTGTGGGCTGTAACACTTCTCTGTGGGCTGCAACACTAGTCTGTGGGTTGTAACACTAGTCTGTGGGTGTAACACTAGTCTGTGGGTTGTAATACTAGTCTGTGGGCTGTAACACTAGTCTGTGGGTTGTAACACTTGTGTGGGGTTGTAACACTTGTCTGGGGTTGTAACACTAGTCTGTGGGCTGTAACACTAGTCTGTGGGTTGTAACACTTATCTGTGGGTTGTAACACTTGTCTGTGGGCTGTAACATATTGTCTGTGGGCTGTAACACTTGTCGTGGGCTGTAACACTCCTCTGTG